CCCCAAAACCCCAAAACCCCAAAACCCCAAAACCCCAAAACCCCGAGAGGGATGAACTCAATTGAGAAACCTAATATAATAAAATAGGACTGTTTTGCTAAAATGGTAAATCCATAACTCTATATTCACCCTATTCATAAAGATATTCAAATAATGAGAATATGGATGATATTTGACACAAAAGATATTTCAGAGACACCCTCATTTAAACGGTCACATAAAATATCTTTTTAACTCTTGGAGTTGAGGAATAGAGTAGCAGCTATCACTCTAATGAAAGTTTTAGAGCAATAACCATGCTGTATAGTCAAAATAAGCTTAATGGGACCTCATAGTGACTTATTCATGCACAAATTCTGTAGTATTTTAATAAAGTAGTATCCACATTTATTTTAATCTAAAATGATTATTGAAGAAATTGGAGAGTGCAGGGATAAGTATTGGTTTGCACTTAGTAAGAATCAATCCCTGTTCTACAGACCCTATGCTATCTAATTTGTATCATACCCTAACCTCTCTTGAGACTAGCCTACCAGAAGCATATGCTGAACTGTAAGAAAATGATTTGGTTTTGAGAAACAAAGAAATTATGCCTAATTTCTCTTTGGTATTCCGACATATTTTTAAGAACTTCTACCTTAGTCTTGCTCAAGAACAGATAGACAGAAAATCTGTTTCAGAAATTCCATTCCTTGAGGTAAGTTCGGGCTATTGGTACTTTTATGGGACTCGGTACGTCTCTGATTCAAATTAGTCGTATTACACCCTATTTGAGTCGCATCAGATTGTGAAGGGCATCCTTGGATGCTCGCTCTATTGAAATTTTGGGATACTTTCTTGGAGTTCATATCTTGACAAATATTCTCTTTAATCTTATTCATAGGGATAATCTGAATCTCTCATAATCCTTGAGGGATAAACATATTGCCTCCCCCTTGCAGTTTCTTTTGTTGGTAAGGTATTACAGATTCTATTCTGTCTGCTTGAATGATCAATTTTCTTTTGCCAAGCATTAGCACATGAGCACCATTTTTGACATATGATGACAAGTCAGAAGCTTTTCTAGATTCCTGATTTTGACTCTTTGCAGGGCAATCTTGGTTTACCTCTAGAGTGTCAAAATTTGGCGAATTCATAGGTTGAATTGTTCTATAGAAAGCTTCCTCAGCTCCAACTAACTTCTCTGAGTTTTTGTTCTTAGAAAACCTCTTCTCTCTGCTTATGGATGAGGAAAAAGACTTTTTAATGGTGTTCTCTGTGTTCTTTTGGACGTATTTAAAGTCTCTTTTCTTCAGCTTCTCCATGTTTGTAGAAATATATTCAGCTTCGCATGACGAACGCCCGAACGAGCTGTTTTTGGTACTGGTTTCCTGTCCTCTATCGAAACAAGTCCCATAGCTTGCCATATTCAAGTGAGTTGAGGCATCATCCATTTTGATTTTGACTAATGGAGCAACTTCAGGAGACTTGAACTGGTATAATGGAGAGGCATCTCACATGCCTTTGAGCACACATTCCATGGGGTCTTCGGTCTGGAAGTCCTTCTTGATCTGGTCAAGGTATTTATGGCAGTGAGACCTGATCTGGATGCTCGACCTTGTTGGAATCTATTTCAATTATCACCTCTCTGTATTCAAAATTACCATTTGCTCTAATACGTCCCAGTCTTTGCCAAATTTTTTGAGGCCTAAACTATCAAAATTCTGATGTTACAATTGATGAAGAGATCATGTTCTTCGTACGACCACCTGCCTTTGTTTCGAGGCTTCGTGATAAATTGTCTTGTTGAAAAGGACTAGAAAAATTAAAAATCATGAGTTGTCTGAGAATAGAAGATCAATTAAAGAATTTACCTGTTCTGAAGGGATGTTCTGGTATGATTTAGTGTTGTTTTGTAAATATTCTTCCATCTATAGCATGTTTAAACCTCTCTTAAAAGTCAATCATATAATTTTTACTCAAAATTTTATTGGAATTCTCCATATTCTATCTCAAAAAGAGGGATAAATGCTGATTAATGGTAGACATTACTATCTGTATTCTTGGCTACTATCTATTAAAGTAACAATCATTATAGTCCAAAATGCTGAACTATCCAGGACAGCCATCACCCCTGTTTTAAGTATAAGCCAAGCATTTTTGGCATATTTCAGATCAAATTACATACCCAGTCCCAACACTGAAGTACTTTATCTAAAATCTTCTTCTAAAATTCTGACAATTTTTGACTTTTCTAAAGACTTTAGAATCCAGGAATACACGTTATAAGTTCGAGAAGCCACTATGATTTAATAGCTCATATAATCACTAGTTTTCTGCTAAATTGGAGATTTTAATAAGCAAGCTACTTTAGGAAATTTTCTCAAAATTTTAACTTTAACTTAATTAATTTAATAAATTTATCAAATATGGGGGAAAATGTTCTAAATTTTCATTAAACTAAGTTTTGTCTCATGAAATACCTTCTATTCAACACCATAATGTTGATTTATAGTCCAAAGGACTGAAGGATAACTTGATTGGCTACATGCGAGGCTCATATGGATAATATTAAGGATTAGGGTAATTCTCTATTGTCCATAACCTGCCAACTTAGGCTTCTGGAAAAATGGCAGACAAAATCTACCCAGTATTTCTTTTGGTAAAAATAGGCTCAAGTTGATTATAACTGTGATAAAGTCTTGAATTTAGCATTAAACTTTACCTATGTAAATGAAAAAGTTTCATAAATTCTGATGAATTGTTGAGCAGCATCTAGGGCTCAGGTTATTGTAAAAAAACAGCAAAAATACTTTATCCTAGCATATAGGGCTATTACTAATGTTTGCCTTCTTGTACAAAGACTGTAATGAGATGCTAATCCAGAGATTTATGTATCAGAATCCTCTTTACTATCGCTGAAATGAGTTCTCAATTTCATCTTTTTAGCAATAAGTAGGTCTGAAGAAATAGTCTCAAAATTTCAGATTAGGACTGGGCTAAGACCCTAGTGTTAAAATCAGGAATATTTTAGACTTGGTGTAATAGGGCCACTATTAATGAAATCAGACTTATCAACAAGAGGAAACCATGAAAATAAATCACAAAAGTTTACCCTTCTTCACAATCGAGATCTTCAATTTGACAATTCATTGTTTGAGTTTTAAAAATAGGAGAAATATCACAAGGAAGGCAGGCGGAGTGCTTAATATATTTAAGCATCATCCTAAGGTGTTAGCTATGTCTTATATCACGAGAATTACTCCTTGATCGCCTCGTAAAATTCTTTGTCTACTTTAAGGTACCTTCTTGGCTTTAAAAATTTAGGATGATAACCTAAAAATTTATGAAAATGTTTGCCATAGGCTAACCTCCAGGATTTTTCCACAAAGTGGCTCAATGGAAGAGCTTCCAATCGGATAATTTTTAAATCTTTGGAGAATAAATAATCAGAGATTTCCCATCACCTGGGCATCTGTACAAGGAAATAGGAAAATATAAGAAAAATGCCGAAGTATATAATCTCTTCAGGATTTTTAGATGATGAACTCTTGAATCTTTATATAAAATTGATTTTCTTGTATGAAAGATTAAGTCTGCACTTAGAGCTTAAAGCTAGTCCCAGCTTAACTATGAGAGAAGTCTTGGGGTTGGGCTTAACCTATGATCAACAAATCTAAGGTAGGTTCTAAGAGATCCCTCCAAAATTCATTCTTTTTGTATGTTTTGATCTCACAAATCTATGTGCAGGATAGCCATGTACATAGGTGCATGACACAAGGCAAAATTGTCATTAGAAGGTTGATATTTACAGACATGATTGAAGACTTACCTAAAATATATTAACTTTTCAGGAACTTAGAGTTTAAATGGGGTTTTGGGGTTTTGGGGTTTTGGGGTTTTGGGG